TGGTTCAAAAATGGTCCAAAAATTGCTCGAAATTTATTCCAAAATGGCTCAAAAATTACTCAAAATTTGTCCCAAATTTGGCTCTAAAGTGATCCAAAAATGGCTCAAATATGAAAGAAAAATGGCCTTGAAATGGTGAAAAAAGGCCCAAAAAAGGCCCAAAAATGGTTCAAAAATGGTCCAAAAATTGCTCGAAATTTATTCCAAAATGGCTCAAAAATTACTCAAAATTTGTCCCAAATTTGGCTCTAAAATGATCCAAAAATGGATCAAAAAATGAAAGAAAAATGGCCCTGAAATGGTGAAAAAAAGACCAAAAAATGACCCAAAAATGGTTCAAAAATAATCCAAAAATTGCTGAAAACTTATCCCAAAATGGCTCAAAAATTATTCAAAATTTGTCCCAAATTTGGCTCTAAAATGATCCAAAAATGGCTCAAAAAATCAAAGAAAAAAGGCCTTGAAATGGTGAAAAAAGGCCAAAAAATTGCCCAAAAATGGTTCAAAAATTGCTCAAACTTATCCCAAAATGGCTCAAAAATTATTCAAAATTTGTCCCAAATTTGGCCCTAAAATGATCCAAAAATGGCACAAAAATGACCCCAAAATTGTGCTAAAATGGCTCAAAAATGAGCCAAAAAATGACAGAAAAATGGTCCCAAAAATGGCTAAAAAAAACCCCAAAATTGTTACTAATATAACCCAAAAATTGCTCACTAAAGGGCATAAAATGGTCCTAAAATGATCCCAAAATGGCCCCAAAATGTCAAAATTTGTCCCAAATTTGGCTCTAAAATGATCCAAAAATGGCTCAAAAAATGAAAGAAAAACGGCCCTGAAATGGTGAAAAAAAGGCCCAAAAAATGGCCCAAAAATGGTTCAAAAATGGTTCAAAAATTGCTCGAAACTTATCCCAAAATGGCTCAAAAATTATTCAAAATTTGTCCCAAATTTGGCTCTAAAATGATCCAAAAATTGGCCCAAAAATGACCCCAAAATTGTCCTTAAATGGCTCAAAAATGAGCCAAAAAATGACAGAAAAATGGTCCCAAAAATGGCTAAAAAAAACCCCAAAATTGTTACTAATATAACCCAAAAATTGCTCACTAAAGGGCATAAAATGGTCCTAAAATGATCCCAAAATGGCCCCAAAATGATCCTAAATTTGGTCCCAAAATGATGCAAAAATGACTTAAAAAATTGTCCCAAAATGGTTTAAAAATTACTAAAAAATGACGGAAAAATGGCCCAAAATGACCAAAAAATGATTAAAAAATGATTAAAAAATGACCTGAAAATGGTCTCAAAAATGACAGAGAAATGGCCCCAAAATCACCCAAAAATGACCCCAAAATTGTTACAGAATCACCCAAAAATGGTCCCAAAATTACTCACAATTGACTCAAAAATTGTCCCAAAACTGACCCAAAACTGACCCAAAAATTGACCCCAAAATGGACACAACAATGACTCAAAACCGACCCAAAAATGACAAAAAATGACCCCAAAATAACCTAAAAATGACCCAAAAATTAGTCAAAAATGGATCAAAAAATGACCCAAAACCGACCCAAAAATGACACGAAAAATTACCAAAAATGACACGAAAAATTTACAAAAATTACCAAAAAATTGACTCAAAATGACGAAAAAAATTACAAAAATGAGGAAAAATTGACCCAAAAATGACCCAAAAACGACAAAATTGTCCCCAAACGCCCCAAATTTGTCCCGAAACGCCCCAAACGCCGCCCCTCCCCCACCCGGGTCCGAACCCGCGCCGGGGGTGGGGGAGGGGCGGCCCCTCCCCCCCCCCTCAGGGTCCAGCGGGGTCGCGCGGGGGCGGCGGAGCGAGGAGGGG